TGGGGGTTTAAATGAAAGAAAAGTGTAAAATATGGTCAACGTATTATTGCAAAAGTGACTGGTGTCATGAGGAGAAAGGACTAAAGATGGATTGACCCATTGGCTTTCTTCAGTGTTCTGCTGGGGAAAGGAGACCCAATTTAATTTACAGACTCTCAGTTCACTATCAAGGCGTTAGGGAGAGACTTCCTCTGCCAATAACCAACCTGGCTAATGGCTGATATGTTGTGATAAGTGTTTTCTCACTCAGGATAGTAGTGGTATTACATTAAGAGGGAAAAAATTAAATAATAGCTTTGGGGTTTAAACTGAAGTTAAGTGGCAAAAGAAAAGCTCTACCTACCATTACCATATATGCACAGTGAGAAAAATTGGAAGGTTTTGAGAATTCTGAATGTCACCTTGCATTGTGTGTTAATGATGTAAAAACATGCTTTTTGCTAACATAACAGTGTGCAGAAAAAATATAACACTTTTCCTATGAAATTGACAGAACTGTCCACAAAGTCCGAACCTCTGTGAATTGCTCTGTGAAGCTGGATGCCAAGAATACACCTGGCATTTAGGCTGACCCACATATTGGTAATTTGTCTAAAAGAGCTTTTCCTTTCCAAGATTACATATGATGAGTGTGTAGTGGGAGAGGGGCTTAGACAAATCGGACAACCCATCATGATATCATTACTAGATTTGTTTTTAGGTGCAGCTTTTATCTTGTGACTTCTGGTTAAAGTGATTCATTTAATGCCAGCCTCTGGCTTTAAATCCTGCTATTATCCAGCATCATCCTAATTTCCCCCTAATCAGGTTTATTCCCTCATTGTTTCATATATACAAAGACTCATTGTTTGTGTTTAAATATTTGCTTATGTTGTTTAGCTTCCTATGGTATTTACTTTCTTTAAAAGGGGTTTTGATGCTATGTTCTCTGCTTACAACAATAGATACTATAAAAATAGCCTTAACATATACATTTTATGACAAAGTCCACTATAATCCTTTGTGAGCCCTTTATGTGGATCTGTGAGGAGGAAGTTTCCCGTCAACCTCTATGCTGCATTTCTGTGATTTTACTTCTTATAAAAATTACTACTTGTAACTAATTGTGTTTCCTTGCTTGCTTTAACCACTAGGAAACTTGGAATCACGTATGCCATTCTTTTTTTTTTTTTTTTTTTTAATTTTTTTTTTTTTCAACGTTTATTTATTTTTGGGACAGAGAGAGACAGAGCATGAATGGGGGAGGGGCAGAGAGAGAGGGAGACACAGAATCGGAAACAGGCTCCAGGCTCTGAGCCATCAGCCCAGAGCCCGACGCGGGGCTCGAACTCACGGACCGCGAGATCGCGACCTGGCCGAAGTCGGACGCTCAACCGACTGCGCCACCCAGGCGCCCCAAGCCATTCTTGTTTAGTACTGAATAGATTCTTAGAGCGTGGTTTTATTTGTATAGCTTTTCAACAAACCTCATGCTTTTGTTCTGGCCTTGGAGGGGGCAGGTAAGGGTGGTTCCCTATCTTTTAGAATCATGTACTCATGTTTTGTTTTTTAAAAAGGCAGCACACATTTATTAATCTAACATTTTCCGTGGGTCAGGAGGCTGGGGTACCATGTAGCTAGATCCTCTGCTCATGTCTCAGACTTGATGTCTATATGTGGCCTCGTGCTGCCACAGCTGAGAACCTCAGCTGAGGCTTGGGGTTCTCTCCCAAGCTCACAGACTGTTGGCAGAATTCACTTCCTTGCACCTGTGGCACTGAGGTTCTTAACTGAGGATTGAGCTCAGCCTCTAGAGGCTATCCCTCTCCATCCACAGTTCACAGTGTAGCTGTTTGCTTTCTGTCTGGAGGCCAGCAGGAACACTTTTCCTGCTCTGAATCCCCTTCATGCTTCAAATGTCTTTGATTTGGTTCTGCCACCAGCAAGAGAAAAACGCTCTGTTTTTAATGGTTTCACCTGATTAGATTAGGCTTACCTGGATACTCTACATATTTTAAGGTTAATTGAGTTGGGATTTAATTACATCTTCAAATTCCTTTCACAGTGGTTCCTAGATTAGTGTTTGGTTGACTAGCTGGGGTGGGAGGGGGCGGGTCTTGGGGGAGGGCCATCTATAGAATTCTGCCAATCACAATCCCCATAATGGTGGACTATGCAGCTTTGAAAAGGATGGGGGAGGATCTCAGTACACAGCTATGGAATGATCTCCAAGGTATATTATTATGCTGGAAAAAAACCCAAAACAACCAAGGTGTGTATACTATAAATACAACCTGCTGTATAAGAAAGAGGGTGAAACAGGAAACACATGTGTTTTCTAATATTTTCAAAAAGAAAGAATGGAAGGATAAATAAAAAGTTAACAAAAATGTCATTTATAGGGGTAGGAAGAGAACAGAAAACAGGGGCAAGGATGAAAGCTATACTTCCCTGAAGTACCTGTTCTGTGGTTTACACTTAACACCATGTAAATGTTTTATAGAATTAAAAGACAAAATTAAATAAACATGACAAAAATAAAGTAATTTCTAAAAATTACAGCAGCACCTGGGTGGCTCAGCTGGTTAAGCATCCAACTCTTGATTTTGGCTCAGGTCATGATCTCACAATTCAGGAGATTGAGCCCTGAGTCAGGCTCTGTGCTGGAATCTGCGTGGGATTCCCTCTCTGCCCCTTCTCTGCATGCTCCCCCACACACTCAAAATAAATAAATAAACATTAAAAAAATTATAAATAACCTGATATCAAGTTTGTGGTATAACTCTTCAGAAAAGAAATGTTTAAAGGGCTCTTAAATTACAGTATTTTGACAATATTGCCGTATGCCTTAGGGACAAAAAAAACTCCATTAAGAAATCTTAAACTGCATATAGTGTTCATGATGTCGATGGTAATATTTGTATTGCTGAGGTTTCTTCCCCTGATTTTAGAAATTGTGGTAAAATACACACAACATAAATTTTACTATCTTAACCATTTTAACCGTACAGCTCAGTAGTATTAAGCACAGCCATATTATGAAACCGTCACCACCATGGCTCTTCAGAATGCTCCATGTTACAAAACTGAAACATTATACTCATTAAACAATAACTCTCCATCCAACCTCCACCCCCCCAGCTTCTGGCAATCACCATTCTTTCTGTCTCCATGATTCTAAGTACCTCATATAAGTGAAATCATACAATATTTGTCTTTTGTAACTTGCTTATTTCATTTATCATAATATCCTTAAAATTCATCCATGTTGTCACATGTTGCAGAATTTCTTTCCTTTTTAATCCTGAATAATATTCCATTGTGTGTATGTGTACCACATTTTGCTTATCCATCCATCTGTCGAAGATCACTTGGGATGCTTGAACTTTTAGCTATTGTGAGTAATGGCTGCTATGAAAATGGGTATACTAATATCCCTCTGACATTCTGCTTCTGCCTTTAATTCTTTTGGTATATATCCAGAAATGGAATTGTTTGATTATATGGTAATTCTATTTTTATTCATTTTTCTTAAGTAGGCTCTATGCCCAACCTGGAGTTGAACTTAACAATCCTGAGATCAAGAGTTGCATGCTCTACCAACTGAGCTAGCCAGGAGCCCAGGTAATTCTATTTTTAATTCTTTGGAGGATGCTGTTTTACAAAGCTAATGTTTACATTCCCAGGAACAGAGTGAAAAGTGCCAATTTCCCCATGTCCTCACTAACACTTGTTACTGTCTTTCTTTTTTGTTGTTGTTGATAGTAGCCATCCTAAAGAGTGTGAAGTTTCACTTGTGTATTTTTGCAAGCCATTTCAAATCCATTTTGGATCTAGATGGAATACAAATATTTTAAAAACAATGGTCAATTCGCTTATAGTTTTTTTTCCTCTTTTCCTTTTATTCAAACTGCATCCAGTCCTCAAATCCAGCTTTTCCATGCACTCCTGCATTTTTTCATTGCCATCTGTCCCCTTTCTTTGCGCTCTTGTTTTAATATCATTTTGCACTTTATGGTTTCCGACTACTAGCTAGTGTTTTGTGTGTGTTAGTCCTGTTGTTCCAGGTTGTGTATTTTTTAGTAGCAGGGCCCATGAAGCTTCCACTTTTTGAATCATCTAATGCATTAAAATTGTATCAAGAAATGCTTCCTTTTAACAGTATAATTTTTAAGGAACGCTTGACTGTTAGCTAATTAACTCTCAGCACACTCAGCACATCCTCTTTAAAATTGTAGGAACCTGTTTGTGTTTGCAGTAGCCATGCTTGTTTCATCATCCTGCAAGACTATTCAGTCATTCAATTAACGTTTCTTGAGTTCCTACTATACATGGTGTTCTTGATGGGGCATCTGCCTTTGCAACACCCTTTGAGATGAAGGGTAGTATCTAGATGGGGTGAGGTCTGCAACTTGGGGAGGGACAGATTTTGCATGACTCTGGTACTTGGCGATCACTTCTTCAATAGGCAGGGCATCTAGTCTCTAGCCAAAAACAAATCCTGGATGAAAGGCAGACATTGGAACTCTGAATAATGTATATTCTGGGTTCTAACTACGATAATCAATAGGTCATCCGAACTCTAATTCCGACTGCCAGGTCCCAACGGGTATGGAGGTACCCTCCCGCCTTGATTCCTTTGAGTACATTTCCCACTGAGCACTGCGCCCTTGCCTCTTCCATTCTTGCGTGAAGACTACAAGTCCCAGCATGCAGCGCAACTCTAATAGGCCAGTCCTCATCGCTCGGGCTCTTTCACGCCCGTGTCTCCCGTAGGGCGCAGGGCCTGGAGGCCTGTGCGTGCTGACGTTGATGCGTATACGTCATACTCTTCGCGCCTCTTCCCCCGCCTTCTGGGTGGCTAAAGTCCGGTGGCAGGAGGCGTAAAGCGGTGCTTTTTCCGAGGCTGTCTGGCGGTTTTTTGGGGGGGAGCCCCAGTGGCTTAAAAACCCGAGGGAATCTGGATAGGGGCCGCCACTGCTAGCCCTCCTTCCTCCGAGTTTGCGACTCCGCGGTCCAAGATGGACAAAGTCTGTGCTATTTTTGGAGGCTCCCGGGGCATTGGGAGGGCAGTGGCCCAGTTAATGGCTCAGAAAGGCTACCGACTGGCCATCATCGCCAGAAATCTGGAACTGGCCAAAGCCGCCGCCGGTGACCTCGGCGGTAGGTACCAAACTAGAATTGTCCACTTGTGGGGCTGCAGCCCGAGAGCCTAAAGTCTCCTCGTTTGTAAAACGAGGCCTGGCCTTTAAGGCTCTGAGGTTTAGCCGTTTGGCTTCCCACGTTCAGGAGCAGCCTTTCCTCAGTGTGGACAACAGACTGGGTGGAGAACCCCTTATCACCGTTTCCCGCAGTGTTTCCTGCCACGCTGCCTGCAGCCAAGGGCAGAACAACTTGGGGTTTTCTTTGAGACTTAGTCTTGTGAGGCCCCATTAATTAAGCCCTCACCTCCCTGAGGCTAGTGCTAACCGTGAGGCGCTGTTTTGTTTTGGTGTCTGGAAGGAGGGAGACACAAACTTTCTTTGTAGGGTAAAGGGCTCACTGGTGCCGCGAGGTCCCGGGCGCCGCCCGGAGACTGGGCTGGGTGGAAAGGAGTTAAGGCAGGAAGAGTAGGCGTGTCAAGCCTGAAAGGCTCTGTATAGTTTTGCTGTGGGCTGTTTTGGCCCACGTGCAAATACACAAAGCAGTGTTTCATAGACAAAACTCTTTTTAGTACCAGCTAGTTTTGAGATATACCTGTTTTGGCCCTTTACCTCCATAAGCATTTAATAGGTTATTAAATTGTTTTGGTGGTTTTTACAAATGGACAAATGAGACTTCCAGATTCCTTTTTATTGCATTTAAAATTCTTTTTTTTTTCTGTTTATTAATAATGGATTAGTAATTACTTTTCATTATTTTGCAAACTCAAGTCTTTTGATCGTAGGGAGAAGTAGGATGTAGGATAGATGCTAAGACGCTGCTATTGTTTACTTACTAGAACGGACAAATGCTCCTTATTCACTATCATGGAGGCACTGGGAAGTTTAGAGGCCTGGGATGCATCTGGTGGCTGTAACCCTTAAAATAACAATACTGATTGGTTCACCCTAATTGTGCACATGGGTTGGGAAAATATTAGGCTCTTTAAAGAAGCAAAACAAAATACAAGTTACAGAGCAGGGAGAAATTCAGTGAATGTTTCTTGCTGCTCATATTCACTACCATTATGTTATTCTGACAAGAGAGTGAGAAAGTGGTTTTCCTTATGGGGTCATCCCAAGCCATTAGTGTTTGCTGGAATAGATAAAAACTGTTGGTTGAACTTCCAAGGGTTATTGTGGACCCAACAGGTTTTCAGATGAACACCAACGGTGAGTCACAGAGGATGCTTTGGGCCTTTCATTTCCTTGAATTATGTGTTCCATAAGTGTTTGGTTTGCACACTGTTTCCAGAGACATGAGAGTGTAATTTTAGTGTTAACATAATAGGCAAGGTCAGCCAGAAAATAAGGAATTGTTTAGTTTTCAAAAACCCCTATATTTTAGAGTATTAAAATGATGTATTATTAAATAGAGAATGCTTTCTTTGAAGTGTATTCTTTTGATATTTATGCATTTTTTAAAAATGGACACTTAAAGGGAAGTAACAGTTGTTTTTAGTAAAAAGTTATTTTTTTTTGGTGTGTTTTTTAGTTTTTGCATTTTGTTTTTACAGCTTCCTGCTTTGTAATGGTCAGCCTTGAATAATAGTTATTCTAATATATGTGCCATAGTAGAAAAAAAAAAAAAAGTGTGAGAAACCCTAGGGTATATTCTCAGGATCAGGAAACCAGTTAAACACAACTGTAACAATTACACATAAATTTATTTATTTATTTAAAAAAAAATTTTTTTTTTCAACGTTTATTTATTTTTGGGACAGAGAGAGACAGAGCATGAACGGGGGAGGGGCAGAGAGAGAGGGAGACACAGAATTGGAAACAGGCTCCAGGCTCTGAGCCATCAGCCCAGAGCCTGACACGGGGCTCGAACTCACGGACCGCGAGATCGTGACCTGGCTGAAGTCGGACGCTTAACCGACTGCGCCACCCAGGCGCCCCTTTACATAAATTTATTTTTTAAAAAAATGTGTATTTTGAGAGAGAGAAAAAGGGTGAGTGGGGGAGAGGCAGAAACAGAGAGAGAGAGAGAGAGAGAGAGAGAGAGAATCCCAAGCAGGCCCTGAGCTATCAGTGCAGGCCTGACTTGGGGCTCAGTCTCAGGAACAGCAAGATCATGGCCCCAGCTGAAATCAAGAGTAGAGGCTTAGGTAACTGAGCCACCCAGTTGTCCCATAAATTTCAAAAAAATATAAAACCCAGAACACTGTTGAATTGGGTAGCATGGGGTCATTGTGGAAGCTATAAATATTGTTAGATGAGTCTTACAAAGCCTTATGAACATAAAAAGGGCCCTCCTGCCATTTTTTGTTGATGAAGAAATATTTTTAAGGTTTACTTCCCCACCGACCTCCATCCCAATTTTATTAGACTGAACTCCATGAGTAGAGGAATCCATGACATAATCATCTTTTTTCTGTAGGTTCTAAATTAGCACAGGTGTAGGTCCTAGTAGATGCTTAACAAATGTGTATTGAATAATTTTTAAATTCAAGTCATAATTTATAAGTAGTTCTAATTTAACTTTGTTGTCTAGGAGATCATTTGGCATTTAGCTGTGATGTTGCCAAAGAATGTGATGTCCAAAATACATTTGAAAAGATGGAGAAAAATTTAGGTCGAGTTAATTTCTTGGTAAATGCAGCTGGAATTAACAGGTTAGTCACAGACTTAAGTACTTTTCTAATTGTTTGTTTTGGTATGAGTAAATATATTAACTTACTTTACTTCTAAGTGGAAGAAAATATGTATTTTAAAAATTGGTCTATCTATACTTCCTTTTATATTGAGATATACAATAAGGGTACAATTTGATCAATTTTAACATGTGTAATCACATTCATAGTGAACTGTAGAACATTTCTAGCACTCTAGAAGGCTTTCTTTAGTTTCTTCCCAGTTAATAGTTATAGATAACCTCTATTCTGACTTCTGTCACCATTATATAAGTTTTTTCAGTTCATGAACTTAATGGTATCAGAGTAGATATTTTTTTTCTTTTTAAAAGGTGAATTTAGGACAGAATACTTAGAATAGTATATTAATTTTCTTGCTAACAAGGCTTACTATAATATGGGATTTTCTCAGTTTATTTAAGCTTTTTTGGCTACTTTTAGCTGATAGGAATATTCACCTCTCAGCCAGCTTCTAAGTTATCTTTTCTAGTTTATCACTTATTTTAATGCCTCTCAAATCAGATTTAAAATGGGACTCTCTAGGCTTTCTAGCTCAAATATATACTTCTTGACTTTTTAAATTTGTTTTATCCCGTTTTTAATTTATATGCCACTGCTGTTTTTTGTAGGGATAGCCTTTTAGTAAGAACAAAAACTGAAGATATGGTATCCCAGCTTCATACTAACCTCTTGGGTTCCATGCTGACTTGTAAAGCTGCCTTGAAGACTATGATTCAACAACAGAGAGGGTCTATTGTTAATGTAGGTAAGTCTTCACCTGTGAAATTATTTATCTCATAGTGCCATAAAAATATTTAATTGACTAATTTGGAGTTTATTCATGTGTGAAACTTGGATGAAATGGGTCTTTTTATTTGTGGAAAAAGGATTTGATTAGGTGATTAGTGGGTAAAACGGGAATCACGGATTCACATCTTTCTAGTGATCAAAATGTTAACATTTTTTTTTTAATGTTTTTATTTATTTTTGAGAGAAAGAGACACAGAGCAAGTGGAGGAGGGCCAGAGAGAGAGAGAGAGAGACACAGAATCTGAAGCAGGCTGTAGGCTGAGCTGTCAGCACAGAGCCCGACTTGGGCCTCAAACTCATGAACTGTGAGATCATGACCTGAGCTGAAGTTGGACACTTAACTGACTGAGCCACCTAGGCGCCCCAAGCTGTTTTACTTTTTGAGAGAAATTGGACACCCTGATTTTCATGTGAAACCTGGTTTTTAAAATACAGATAAGGAAAGTAGATTGAAAAATTTTAGGTAGTGGAGGATAGAAAATGATCTCTACAGCAGTTATGTGTGTCACTGATAAATCTAGTACAGAGGTTTAGGAGGAAGTTTTCAGTGAATAATCTTTTTAGTTTTTTTAGAGTGACTGTAACTAACCCCTAGTTTTCAGTTCATCTGACCCATGGAGTAGTAGATAAACCACATAGGTGTGTTTGTAGACCTTAAAACGCAAAATGACTTAGAATTTTATTTCAGTTTGGTAATTTGAAAATAGCATATCATCTGCCTTTTAATTTTAAGTGGTCTTACCTTAAAAGGCTGCAAAAGGGGAATGCTGCTCCATTAGAGTAAATGGCCCTGTTGTTTTTAATATAGGAAATGGCTGTCCAAGCCAAAATGTAGGGTTTTTCTCTTTTGAAGATGCAACACGAATACTGTGCTAATAAGAATTAGAACATTTTTGACATTTACCTTTAAAAATGTAAGAAATAGGTTTTCTTAAAAAAGATTAGTAAATGATTAAAAAGTAAAAGATTTAGTTGACCTTTGCCTTGTAACACAGCCAGGTAATGATTTTGGATTCTCAGAAGCTGGTATACTGGCCTGTATATGTCACCTGATAATATGGGTGTATTGTTTAACTCTAAAATATCCCCTTTTTAGATATATTTAAAAAACCCACATCAGTCCTTTGTGTACATGCAAAACTTTTAGAATTGTGCAAAAAGTAAATAATAATTGAAAATATATTAGGAGAATCTTTTTACAGAAAGGACTACTTTCAACTACCAAAAGTTCATTGATTTAGGAGTTAACACTTACTCACTAGATGAACAATAGTGTGTGGCATGAACTAAAGTTTCCTATTTGGCCTTTCTTCCATGCCTATATTTTTCTTTCTTTTTTGTGTCTCTCCATATTTCTCTTTCTCCCAAATACCCATTTCTCTGTGTTTTCTCTGATGTTTTTTTTCCTCTCTTTCTTCTTCTTCTTCTTTTTTTTTTTTAATTGAGAGAGAGAGAGAGAGAATGTGCACACTTGAGCAAGCCAGGGAGGGGCAGAGAGAGAGGGGGGGAGAGAGAGAGAATCTTAAGCAGGCTCCACATTGTCAGTACAGAGCCCAACTCAGGGCTCAAACTCACGAACTGTGAGATCATGATCTGAGCTAAAGAGTTGGATGCTTAACTGAGCCACCTATGTGCCCCTCTTTTCTCTCTTTCTGTGCTTCACAGTTCTTTTCCTCTGTCATTAACTGGCATGTAATATATAATGTAGATATATTAATATAAAAAGTGTTTGGGGTGTTTTTCTTTTCCTAAAATAAAATTACTTTTTCGAAAGTTTTGTGAAGTTCTTGATTAATTTTTATATCATAAGTACAGGTCACTGGTGCAGAAAATTGTTTCCCCACTTCTGTTTTACCAGAATTTATTTGCATACAGTTGATATTTGAATTATAAATTATTCTTTCATATTCATATAAATGAGACCACCCAAGAATCTTTAGTAGGCAGTACTAGCTATAATACATCACTGAAGATAACTAAATTGCAGTTTTACAAAAAGCTTATAATGAACCTTAGTTAATTGAGATTGATGGTAGTTCAAACTTAGTGAGATTTATCTTCAGATGAACTATTTTTTTTAGTTGGAAATGAATATGTCCTTAATCTGTGTTGTAGAATCATAAAATTAATCAGCCTTTGTCTGACTTTTTCTGGTTTTAACCTCTTCCTACTGGAAGCCTTTAAAAATACTATAGGATTTTCACCATTTCTCACCTACTAAGAGATGAGATTGGTTTCTTTCACTTAATGGATCAGTTCTCAAGCCCTTGCCTGACATACGAAGTTTTATGTAAGCTTCTTTCAGAACCTGTTTTCTGTTTGTATCTGGAGCAGACTCCAACCCTAAGTCTTACTACTCAAATGATGCTGGTTAGAATTCCTAATTTTAGCAAAGGACACGGTAAAATGCTTTGTGCCTTTGTTTGTTTCCTGTAAGATTATCTAAATATTCAAGTAATCCATTAATTGGTTTGAATTTGCTTTCATTTTATTTTTTCTAGGAAGTATTACTGGTTTAAAAGGCAATTCTGGCCAGTCTGTGTACAGCGCCAGTAAAGGAGGATTAGTTGGGTTTTCACGTGCTCTTGCTAAAGAAGTAGCAAGAAAGAAAATTAGAGTGAATGTGGTCGCACCAGGTCAGAGAAAACTTTTTTCTTTTTTTTAAAAAAAATTGAAGCATAGTTGATATACGCTATTATGTTAGTTTCAGATGTACAACATAGTGATTAAAAAATGATGTATATTATAAAATGTTCACCATGATATGTGTAGCTTTCATCTGTCAGTATGCAAAGTTTTTACAATATTACTGACTATATTCTCGATATTCTACTTTCCATCGCTGTGACTTATTTATTTTATAATTGGAAGCTTGTACCTCTTAACCCTCTTCACCTATTTTGCCCATCCCTTCATCTTCCTCCCCTCTGGCAGCCATCAGTTCTCTGTATTTATGAGTCTGTTTCTGGTTTTGTTTGTTTTGTTTTTTAGATTCCACACACAAGTGAAATCATGCTATTTGTCTTTTTCTCTCTCTTATTCACTTAGCATAATACCCTCTAGGTCTGTCCATGTTGTTACCAATGGCAAGATTTCATTCTTTTTTATGATTGAGTAATATTCCATATGTGTGTGTGTGTGTGTGTGTGTGTGTGTGCGTGTGTGTATGTATCACACCTTTATCCATTTATCCATCATGGTTGCACATTTAGGTTTTTTCCATTTCTTGGCTATTGTAAATAATAGTAGATTAAACGGGGGGGGCATATATTTTTATGAATTAGTATTTTTGTTTTCTCTGTGTAGATACCCAGAAGTGGAATTACTGGCTCATATGGTATTTCTATTTTTAATTTTTTGAAGAACCTCCATGCTGTTTTCTATAGTGGCTGTGCCTTCCCACCAACAGTGCTCAGTGGTTTCCTTTTCTTCACATCCTTGCCAATACTTGTTATTTCTTGTCTTTTTGATACTAGTCATTCTGAAGGTATAAAGTGATATCTCATTGTGGTTTTAATTTGCATCTCCTTGATGATTATTGATGTTGAGCATCTTTTTATGTGTCTGTTGGCCATCTGTGTGTATTCTTTGGAAAAACATTGAATCAGGTCCTCTGCTCATTTTTTAATGGGGCTATTTGTGGTTTTTTGGTGTTGAATTGTAGAAGTTGTTCATATATTTTGGATATTAATTCCTTGTTGGATATATCATTTGCAAATATCTTCTCCCATTTAGTAGGTTGCCTTTGGTTTTGTTGATAATATTTTCCTGTGGAAAAGCTTTTTAATTTGATGTAGTCCTAATAGTTTATTTTTGCTTTTGTTTCCCTTGGCTGAGGAGACGGATCCAGAAAAATATTGCTAAGGTGAATGTCCAAGATGTTACTGTCTGGCTTTTCTTTTTTCTTTTCTTCTTTTTTTTTTTTTTTTTTTTTTTTTTTTTTTTAGAATTTTATGGATTCAGATGTCACATATAGATCTTTAATCTATTTTGAGTTTATTTTTATGTATTGTGTAAGAAAGTGGGCCAGTTTCATTCTTTTGCCTGTAGCTGTCCAGTTAACACAATTTACTGAAGAGACGGTCTTTTCTTCATTGTATATTCTTTTCACCTCTGTCACAGATTAATTGACAATGTAACAATGGGTTTATTTCTGGGCTCTCCATTCTGTGCCATTGATCTATGTGTTTTTGTGCCAGTACCATACTGCTTTGAATACCGTAGCTTTATAATATAGTATAAAATCTGGGATTGTATTACCTCCAGCTTTGTCCTTCTTTCTCAAGATTGTTTTGGCTATTTGGGGTCTTTTGTGATTCCCTATAAATTTTAGGATTCTTTGTCCCTAGTTCTGTCAAAAATTACTATTGGTATTAGGATGAGGATCACACTGAATCTGTTGATTGCTTTGGGTAGTATGGACATTTAAACAATATTAATTTTTCCAGTCCATGAACATGGAATATCTTTACGTTTATTTGTGGCATTTTCAATTTCGTTCATCAGTGTCTTATAGGGTTCAGAGTGTAGGTCTTCTACCTCCTTGGTTAAGTTTATTCCTTAGTATTTTATTCTTTTTGGTATAATTGTAAATGGGATTATTTTTTAAATTTCTCTTTCTGCTGGTTCATTATTAGTGTATAGAAATACAACACATTCCTGTATTGGTTTTGCATCCTGCAACTTTACTGAATTCATTTATTACTTCTAGTAGGTTTTGGTGGACTCCTCAAGATTTATATATATCTATATAGATCATGTCATCTTCAAATAGTGCCAGTTTTATGTTTTTCTTTTTAAACATAACTTATGTATACTTATGGCTTTGTACAGTAATAGCAAAGATTGTTCCTGTGTTTGGAAGTACATCAGCATCATCAGGCACTTCTGAGAGAGTATCAGAATAGGAGCATGGACTCTTCACTATTAATAAATTCTTTTTTTTTTTTTTTAAGGTTTATTTATTCATTCTGCAAGAGAGAGAGCACACACGCATGCATGAGTGCAGGGGAGGGGCAGAGAGAGAGAGGGAGAGAGAGAATCCCAAGTGGTCTCCACTAAGCACAGAGCCCGATTTGGGACTTGATCCCATGACTCTGAGATCACAACTTGAGCCCATATCAATAGTCTAATACTTAACCAACTGAGCCACTGAGGCTCCTCATTAAATACTTGGGTAGTGAAATTTGTGAGGGTATGACTATATCTTGACAGAACTTAAATGGCTACATCTGGCCACACTGCCAGTCTGTGCGCCACCTTCAAGAAGGAGACCAAGAGTAATGCCAGTTTGCTTGCATAAACCACATTGCATTTTTAAATAAATGATTACTCTCAAACTGAAACCACAAGAGAAACTTCTCATTTAAAAATCAGTTATAAATTAAGAACTCTTAAGAGCTGAATGTTAAGAATTTCAAGGTAGGTAGGGGGTGAGTATTGGTAACATATCCACTAGTTGAACAATTCAAAATGGTAGACTATTGGAGAACTATTTCCATTTTAAGTGTCCTCTCTCTTCTTGGAATATTCCATTGATTTATTGCTCATCGGCATACATTTGCTAGTTAATTTAGACTTTGTCAGTGTCAAAGCAGAACTTTCCAAGTAATGCATCTATTACCTAAATATGTTTCTTAAGTTTATCTTATGGGAACAATACTTATTTATATTTAAAATATTTGAATAGGTCTATAATAAAATATGCTTTTAATAACAGCACAAACCAGAAGGAATAATCAAACAAGAATGCATATGTGATGACATTTGCACATTTAACTAAGCAGTCATGTACTGACATAGTAATTTCTCTAGAAAGTCAGTATTCAGACAGAAAAAGAATTGCTAGGGATCACATGTTTGTTTTCAAAATAGACAAGATGCTCTTCACTGGACTTCATTGTACCCCAGAGAACTACCCAGGATTCATGTTAGAGTTTCAAAACAAAGAAAAACTTGAAGGGTAAAAAGATATTTACACAGACTCGGGGAAGAAACATCCTTTTTGAAGTCAGTCTATGAAGTAGCAAGATTTTAACAGCAATTTTATTTGTGGTTGTTTCCTTAATGAATGGATGGGGGCTCTGAGGCTCATTGTGCAATGGCATGGGAGGAGGAAAGTGGTAGGACATGGTAACAGAAATGAGAATGTGAATACCCTGGCACCAGAAAGTACTATTACATATGCATAAGGCACTGCTTAGAGGAACTAAGGTTCCTAACATCAGACATATGTTGAAGTGGCCAACAATGAAGATGACTGTTTAATAGATGTGGCTTTTTAATAATTTTCAAAATAGTAGAAGTCACAGTGGGAAACTTGCAATAGAGCTAGCCTTCTGTAGGAAATCTATCAGGAACACTTGTCTTTTTGTTAAATATGTAGGAAAAACCAAGCCAGCAGAGATGCAATTCACTTGTAAGACAAAGCAAGTTTGATTTGGGCTAAGTACACAGAAATCAGAGACTTCTCAAGAAAACAAGTAGAACATTATTGTGCACCTGTTTCTTTTAATGTGCTGACTTTGGGCATTCCTCATGGCTTGAAAATACTGGTGGATTAAATGGGATGCAAAGCCAATTAACTTGGTCTGTCAGTTACAGGTAATTGGGAAATATTAAAACAGTGATTAGAATTAATAGTGTAGTTTGGTAAAGGCAAAATAAATTTTCCAATTCTTAACTTATGCTAATGGTTTAAAATATAAATTCAAATATACAATTTACATCTGGTTTTTTTGGTCTTCAAATTAATTGCCTGAAATTTTAAACAAGTTCTATTCAATAGCCATCTGTACTCATGAACAAAAGCATTCTACAGATCACTTAAGTCCCTTTTAAAAATTTCCTCCAATTTAAATTTCCACATTATGCTAAATAATCTGTAAGATGGAAAGGGAAAGAGGGATGAAGTGTCAGTGTGTTGATATAATCTTCAAGATAATTATAAAGCCAACTTTCACGATACCAAATGCGAGCACAGAGTTACAAGAGAAAACTTTTGCCAAAGCTTATCTTGAAGTGGTTTAGTTGCTCAGTTTGAGAAAGGGACCATATTATAGATTCTGGTCTCTGTTCTGATCTACAGATGTTACAGGCCTCCCAGAGGGGACTGAAACAATGCAGCATATAAGCATCTATCAGAAGACTCAGTGCTATGCAGTGTGTTTAGTTCACAGGATAATAGAAGCAGTTGGAATACCTATATAAAAACATATTAAGTTCCTAAACATGAACTGCAAAATGGTCATAACTATATGTCACTCTTCAGCCAAAATAGGGCCAGAAATGTTGAATAGGTAAGTATTAATTACAATGACTTTAAGATTAGTCAGAAACCTTCCTCAAGTACCATCCCAAAGTGTACAGACCAGTTAAACATGTATAAAATTAGTACTAATCCAGCTAGAAATCCAAAAATGAAAATTACGGATGCTGCATCAAGTATCTGGGATTCCATAAATTTATAAGCAGACAGTATAACAAAATAGACTCTAGTTTTAAGAAAACATTACAGTTCAGTATCCCAAAAATATGAAGAAGTCTCACAATAACATCAAAAATCATTTTATCTGGAAGTTAGAACCATTTAAATGTACAAATTTGAAAATAACAAAATGAATTAAAAAATAAGAAA